CTGTAAACTCTGACTTCACCTGCAGGGAAAAAATGAGCAAACATAAAATACGACACTATGTATAAACAAAACAGCGTATCTCGGTTTTAGACTTAAGTGTATCTACTCAGTTCCTTCACGGGGAAATCGGTGTCAGCAGGAGACTCTTTGGGGACCCCTATCATACTATAATTGATAACCCCACGTTATGCATTTGTGGGAGTATTATTGAATTATGTATTTATATTTATATAGAAATTTGCTTTTGTATAATTATTGAATGAAAAATCTCGTAAACAGTAGGTCAGTACATATTTCATTTATTTGCATTTGTAATTTATGTAATGTTTAATATTTTTAATATTTACATTGGCAAATGTTGTGTTGTTAATAATGTTATTATGGCTTATTATTGAATTACATTTATATACTAATTTAATTTAATTATTTGCATAAGATATTATTGTTGTTTAATATTTTGCCTTTAATTTTTTTATCCGGGGAAAATTGTCCCGCTTAAGAGGAGGAAGGTACCGGAGGAAACATCTTAAATTCATAAATTATGCAATGTATACGTATTTCTACGAATTCGTAAGAATCTTACAAAAGTTGTTGGGAGGTCACAATCAAACCAAATTCAGGAGTTCCACAATATTCGCAAGATAATGGCAGCGCCATCTTTGTGCGCTTCTTTCATTCCACGTACATAATACTTTATAGTCACCTTGCATAGTCTACACTCTACGCACATGACTGACGATATACTTTTTTCGCTAGATGACGCTGCCGTATGCAATTTTAATTTTTTACTGATTTTCTTCAGATATCCGATTTACAAGTTCAGAACCAGCCAACGCTGTTTACGGCGATGGACCGTTAGTCATTAATTAATAAACTAATTAATTCAACTTATTACTGAACTATTAAAGCAACTACGCATCACAATAAAATACAGTAACGGAGAACAGTACTTTTCTAAGGCTCCGAGCTACATCGTGTAATAATATAATATTCATATTTCCTGCCACGTGTGACATGCGAAACGATTTAAAATCTTATAATTGAAAATTAATATCTATTTCCATTATGTTGATTTAAATCAATGTCGTATCGAATTTTGTACCATAACTTATAATCATAAATTATTTATAAAATATGTATTATTAATGTCATAAATTATATACTAACACGTCTAGGCGAGCAAAATCGATACGATTAGGTTATAATAGCTAACTTATTTAAAACCCGGTCATTATAAGCCTATACCGGTCTTTAGAAGAATCCCGGGATAAAAAAATCAATTTTTATACTTTTTGAATGATAATTATGTCTTAATAATAAAATAAAATATATGATGGGTATTATAATGGTACAATATAGTATATAGGTACTACTATTATTAAATAATACAAGTACCTGTACCCATTATAATATACTATATTATTTACATTTAAATAAATTTGAGGTGACCATAAGTCCATAACGTTATCATACCAGCTGTCACGCTTGTAAAAATGTATTTAATATTGTGTTAATGAATAAATGAATAACAACAATGTCTGTATATTTAATACCTAATATTGTGTTTGTGAATTTGATATACTTTAAAATATTATCGAATTATCATACACATCCAAAATAGGTTAGATATTATTATTTTGACCACATTACATTCTAACCATACTAACTTGATAATTTTTACACTGGGTATTTTTTCAACCCGATTTTTTTCGCAATTTGGCTGTATCTTTCTACCTAACTACAGTATTAGTACCTATATTATAATAAATTTCCATATCTGGCTTTTGGAGGTTCGTTGAAAAGTAAATGCACAATATTTTGATACTACCTGCACACATACAGGGACGATATAAAGAAGTGATGATCAATCGTTTCTTGACTTAAGGGTGTCAGAAACAGATATTTTATAGCAAAATTCTAGCTACTACAGTACTACGGTAGCTGAAGGTACACCTAACATACGGAAAGAATAAAACCAAACTATTAGATCGAAAATGACATTACAGGAAAAACGTTCACTGTTCACATCTTGTTGAATAATTTCGATGATTTTTGTTTATTTGTAATAGTAAAACTTTATTCTGGTCGTATTGACTAATGATCTTCGATTTATGAATTAACTTTAAAATATATTTCAAAATATGCACAACAATTTGTAAGCATTTAGAGTTTAGACATTTATAACAACTTTTAAAAACAGAGGTTTTTAAATCGGAGTTATAGGAATGTGAGCTGTGATCTGTATAACGTCTTCATCTCTCAAAGAAAAAAAAATATTGTTTAAGTCTGACTTTTTCACTATACGAATTATTCATGTGAAGGAAATTTATTGCTGTACTAAAAAGTAAAACACGACACTCCGACTGTCTAATGATTCTTTTTCCACTATGAATTATAGCTTGATCCGATGACTGTGATAAAAAATTGACCATAAATTAAAAGTATTATTTATGGCTATACTTAGTTGTATGAATAATAATGACTATAGTAGATTTATAATGTTTATTTTTCAATTCCATGATGTCATGAAATATTTACGAGACCTTGTCGTATTGTAATCATTAGGTACAAATTTAGTAATTAGTAGGTAATTACTATTATATAGGCAATCAATAATTATTTATATTCTGTTATATTGCATGAAAACTAGAATACTGTACTATAGTAACTACACATCATTGGTACTATTGAATACCAATTCACAATTTTCAGCTTTGTTGTACACGTCTTGTAGGTAGGTACCTACTTAGAGACAATACATAATGCCATTGCCATTGCCATAAGCCCATAACGGCCAGGCGTCTCCGTATACAATATTAGAGAATCATTATAGGTATCTAGTTCTAAGTAAATTAATGAATCGTGTGTTGCGATTGATATTCAATTTCAGACGCTGCAAACTGTAAAATATTTTATTTTTTTTATTTTTTTATTATTTTTTATTATATAGTATAATAAGAGCTATTAACATTGGATGCGTACTTTAGTTACCTATACGGCTATACGATATAATAATATATGAAAACTTAATATTGTATTAATTGGATACAAAGTGTTTGGAAATTGATTGGCTTTATAGTTTATTGTATAATGTAGGTACACAATAATACACTTTATATATTTATATTTTATAAATTATTAAAATCATGCAGATAATCGATAGTCAGAATGAAAATAACAAGTCATTATTATACATAGGTATCCATATTATATAAACGAATAAACAAAACACGTGTACCGGTGTACCTACTCGTTTTCATTTAATAACGATCAATATTTGTTTTACAGAATTAAGGTACCTAAGTATCTATTATTTTATTAGTTTGATTTTATTGTACAAAAATATTAGTATTATTAGTTATTTTTAGTTGCTTAGACAAAATATTATATTTATGAAGTTTTGAAATGAGTTTGATTATATTTTACGCTATACTGATTAATATATTACATCAAGTAGCTGATTTTAATATTTAATAGTCTGAAATATTTTAATATTTTAGTTATATTGTATTGTTTATTAAATAAAGATTTGATTTAACAAACATACACAATTGTATAATTAATATTCTAATAATAATAATATAATGACCAGTTCTACATTCAATTTCAATGAATTATGAATATCTTATACTTCCATATTACCATAACATACCTACGAATGTTGGTAAAATATATCTTATGAGTTATGACTCAATACACTGACTTACTTAATGACGAGGTGATACCAAGGTACTCCACAGCGAAAGATCGACTTCCTCAATTTTGTATAATAGATGCTATTACAAAAATAATTAATGAAAATTCAAAGGGAGAACATTGTCCACAATTATTTCAAAATAAAATTAATACCAATAGCGAAATGTATTCTAAATTTAAAACGGATGATGATACAAACTAATTAATTTCAAAAAATAAAATGGCAAGACCTCAACAATATGTTCCTAACATATTTAAAAGTTCGGATGACGAATGATTATTAGAAGTATTTGAGTACTTTAATAAATAGGTACTATAATAATATATCTAAAAAAGATCAAGTAATATTAAGTATTTAAATATCTAATTTCGTCCAAATTTGAACTTGAATGTCTAATGTCGATAAAAATAACTTGGCTTAGGTATATATTTTTTTGGTTTCAGTATGAACTCTTTACGGAGAACCTTGTTTTACATTTTCAATTCTTATCTCTTAACTATAAAAATTGAATATTATCGTACATTTTAACTTCAAAATAATTTACAAATTTTCAAATCGATAAACTTTTCAACATATTAACTTTAAATGCGTGTAAAAAAAAATCCTATTTTTAATATTTTTAAACTTCAGTTATAACAATAATGTGTAGAAATCTTGTATTAAATGTTTAAGCTTTTTGGCCCAATAAGAAAACAATTTTATTGGTATTTATAGAAAAAAAAGCTGAAAGATTGTAAATTGAAAATATGGGTTAACAACGCAAGACATATCAACAAATTTGAAAATGTTATCAAGTAAAGGAAATGATAAAATAAACATTTGGTGTAAATTTCAAGTATCTACGGTTGTTAGTTTTTGTATTACTACAAACTAAGAAGAGTGTTCGATTCATAAGAATAAATTGAGTAAATGTCGAATGTCGTACAAACTTATAACGCTCAAAAAAATTAATTTGACTTTCCTGTAGACATTTTTTTCTTTTTTTCTAAATTTTTCTTAATTTAGACTAATGTTGTCAAAATTCTCACTTCGGATGTTCATCAAAATAAACCCTAGAATCGCAGCTGTATTTCATTTATTACTATTTAAAAAAAAAAATTCTTCATCTGCTAAGGTGTTAAGGTAGTTACCAAAAGAAAAATTTATCCAAGTGATTTAAAAAAAGTTCGGCCGCCGACTAGACTTCTTAATTTGAACACTGTATAACAGGTATTATGGTAGTTACTAGTTATACACTTATAGTTTATATCCATAAAAACATTACATAAGGTCTATGACTCTAATGTGTATTTGTGGACACGTCCGTGTCTGCGCGAAAGGTCACGGAGCAAGAATATTAATAACATGTTATATTGCTATTATCATCATATATTTTTGTTTGTGCCGCCATGAAAACACTCGAAATTAAAAATCACAAACGAGCAACCAACTTAATAACTATTTTTTACTACGTTATCATGACCAGTGAATAATAACAAACGACTAACGAAAAACATAAAACATTCGTCAGAGTAACCTATCAGACATTCAGGCACTCAGTCATCGTCTGTCAGTCGGCTGAAATTGTTCACGTTTCTTGCGTCCCTTTCGATTTATTAATTATTACTTCACTTTCCTGCCCCCCCGTAACCGCAAACACTACACGATGGTTTCATTTGAAGTCGATGAAGTTTTGTTCAGAACGTACGTTTTCTACACGGCCGTATTAGTACTGAAAGTACTCGCAATGGCCCCGCTGACCGCCAAACAACGGTTCGCGAAAATGGTAATTGAAATAATATTATGTAAATAATAAGCCATACTACTACTACATGTCTACATAGCCCATAGATGTTGGGTATTTAATATTAAATCAATACGACGAGTGTAGAGTATTTCTATAAAGTAACACTACGTGTGCTGACAAAGGTACTAGGTACTCACTTGGCGGTGGTGATGGACATACGCAGCTCGTCAGCTCATCGGTTTCTTATATAATTACAATTCACAATTGTATGACTATTAACTTTATACCTACCATTAAACAATCATATTTTTTTGGATATATTAAATTATTACACCAATTACACTATACGTTAATACCTACATTGTATACGATTAATCGTAAATTGTTTAGAGAAAAATAGATGCATATTACATAATATCTTTGCATACGTAACAAGTAATGAATAAGTATAAATATTTTCTACTTTTATTGTTACCTAATATTCAAATGTATTACTTCTAATTTATCAATACATATGTATTTCTTGATCTACCATTGTGTATAAATTCAATACTGAATACTTAATACCTGTTTAAAAATTGATGTTGCAATAATATTATGTACATTGAGTGCCTACTACTATTGTCTATTACGATGAGTATTCTAGGGAATATCTTAATGTTTTCTGCTAAAAATAATGAAATGCTTTTGATAAAAAAGACTTGTCAATTTATAGTAGCATTTACGTTAATATATTAGTTACTATTTGTTTAAAAATGTTAAATTTACTTCCTCATAATAAATCATGCCATTTTGTTATGTTAGTAGTCAGTCTGCAAAATGTTGGGTAATATAATAATTAAATCTAAAACATACTTTTGTTTTCTTTAAAAAATGGGTAGTAAATAGTGTTGAATCAATTATATAAAATATTAGGAATCGGCTAAAAATGGATTATAAGTTGTGTCTCATACCTGCAATAACATTCAACATGAGAGTTAATTTAAATTGTATAGAGTAATTACTAGGTATAGTCATTGGTTGATACTCAAAATGATAGTTTTTATCAAGGTTTTAATATTTATTTGTGTAATGAACTATGGAATTAAGATGTCAGACTAGTATAAATTGTAGCAAAATCGTAAATATTTTAACATCACACTTATCTTCTTCAAGTATTATGAAACTTCCAATTTCATTCTTATTGATGTTTTTCAAAATACTATTAAGGTTTGACCATTGTTTTTAGATTTAAAATTAAAATTTGTTTTATAATAACATTAAAACAGATAATAATAGATCCATACATAATTATTGTATTTTTAATTGATCAATTTAAACATGCAAAAGATAATGTATGGATTTTATGAGGAATTTTATGCTCAAATGAATGTGAATATGTAATCTGTTCATTTAGTAATAATCAGTTAACACATAGTCCATTTGCATTACCTATCCTAATTTATTTAATAGCATAATACATAAATGTGTATTAATATGTACAATTAAAAAAAAAATGCATTTCGCTATAGGTGTAATTATATTAAAATATTTAAAATATGTATTTATAGAAAAGTTAGAACTTACTATGAATAATAATTACTAATTATTTTGTTTGATAGGTATTTGCTAACCCCGAAGATACAAAATTGACTTCAAAATCTAAAGTGAAGTTTGATGATCCTGATGTTGAAAGAGTCAGAAGGTATATTATTATAAATTGAATATACTACTTATATATAGATATTATATAATATTTAAAATCAATTTTTTTTTTCAGGGCTCATCTCAATGATTTAGAAAATATTCCACTATTTATAATTGTATGTTTTGGGTATTTATTAACCAACCCAAATGTATTTATTGCTACCAATTTAATACGATTGTTTGTAGCAAGTAGAATTATTCATACAATAGTTTATGCTGTGGTCGTTTTACCACAACCGGCTAGAGGTTTATCGTGGTTTGCTGGATATGCAACTACCGTGTTTATGGCTGTTCAAGTTATTTTAAGTTTTGTTTAATATTATAGTATAAAAAATATACAAAAGCTCAATATTTTATTATTTATCTTTTATTTTTTTCATTTGTATGACATCCCACTGCCCTACAACTAATAGGCATACAAAATTACAATTCATAAAGGAAATCTACTTTTTTATATTGTGAAATTTTGCTTAACTTTTTAATAATTATAATAATACCTTGATAACCAAATAATGTATTTAATTATTTTAATTTTTAGTATAAACCATACTGCTTTCATACTCTAGATCTGTATTCCATTGCTCAGTTTGCTTGTTATTTTATGTATCTGGTTGTGTATCTAATAAGTGCTTATAATCAATATAAACAATATAAACAATATTGCTCATCCCAAAAATATTAAACATTTGATAATTTCACAATATTTGTGTATCAGTACCTCTTATGCATAAGCAAGTAGCAATATTTTATTAGAACAGACCAAATGATAAAAGTTTTTAATTTTAATTTGAAATTCTGTTTGGCATCAGATCTAACCATGGCCTAACCTGTAGTTTTACTTATGCTCATATATAGCCATAATATTAGTTCCCCAATATTAATTTCAATACAAGGTCATCTGGCCGAAATATTTAATGTTGCTTACTTGAAATCTTGAACACACTGTAGGTTTAGACAATATTACACAGAAGGTAGGTACCTAATCGTATATAGTATAGGTACTGTTCCTCCTATTATGGTAATTATAATTTTACTGTTAGTAATAGGTATTGTAAGTTGAATTAGTTATAAAGAAATAATAATTTGTATATTGTATCACGTGAAGTATACAAAATTTGAAAAAATATTGATATAAAATTAAATAGAAACACTGTAATTGGTTCAATTTGTGTACGTATTTAATCAGATTTGATTTACCTAATATCAAAAAAAAAATGCAATATCAATTTAATCCAATCTTTAGTACAATAGACAATAGTAGATATCTATATATTTTTGTAGGTCTTAGGTATTATTAACCACTGTAAGTAACTTATGAGTCAATATTGACTTTCTGTAAAACAGTGTGAACATAGATTTGTGTTTTAAAAATAGATATAGGCAATGGTTTAAAATTAATCTAGATATTTGAAAATATTATTGTGTCAGTGTGTTACCTTCATAAAATATATTGATTCATGTAAAAGTTTCAAGTGCCCAAGATAATGTTTTTGAATTACAATAAAATAACTAAAATTGCTATTATTATTTATTGATAAAATATCTAATTTCATCCAAATGCCAACATCAAATTTCTCAAAAAAATGTTGCTTATATTTTGTATTTAAATTGGAACTTTTTGACATCAGTATGAAATACAACTACTATAATTGTAAATTGTAATGAGAAACTCTGTATTGAACTTTCAAGCTTTATTATAAAAAACAAAAATTGTATCATACATAAATTAAAAAGCCTAATAAAAGTCGAAAATAAAAAATATGTATAAATAGTACTAAAAGAATAAAAAAATTTAAAAATTGTGTGGTAAATTCTAGTATAAATATTCGGTGAAAATTTCAAATCTACAATTTTAGATTCTGAGCGGAACGATGAATTCATTGATTTAACAATGATGTGTGTTCTTTATTTCTTTATTTTTTTTGTGTCTGTCACAACAGTTTGGGGCAGTAAAAGTGCTTCAATTTTGTTCAACAGCAACTTTTCTCGTAGGAAAGTAAATCTATTTGGTGCATTCGGGAGGTTAAAATTCAAACCTAAATTTTTAGGCAAAATCAGTTTTAAAAAAAATCGTTTTTGGTTTTAAGTGAACCCCTAAAAAAAATGACCATAGACACATGACATTTTCATTTAATGTTTGTGTTAACATTTTCTATACACCATACTATTTCCAAAATATTTTGACTCGTGTAGAACTATTTATAGGCATATGGATATGAACTTTTTGATTTTTATTTATTTTGTTTTTTTAAAACTAATATCGATAAAAAAATGTTCGCTCCGTTAAAAAACTTGTAAATGTATTACAAGTTTCCTCGTAAGTTAGTGAAAATTAAAAAAAAAGTTGAGCATAAATCCGCAGTAATTTTTTATGAGCGCTTGAATTTAGGATCTTAACAAAATTCGTAAAAATCACGAAAATAACAAATTAATTTGAAGTTAATAATACATTAGATATTTTCTTTTTATATCTAAGATTTAAAAATTTAATACACGTTTCCTTGTAAGTTTGTCTACCTTTATCAAAAAAAAATTTCCACCGGAAAGTCAAATTTTAATAGAACATTGGATATTTACTCGATTTCTCATGTAAGTGATATTCTTATTTTGTTGTAATTCAAAAACGAATACTAAACAAAATCTATTTAGTTAAAAAATAGGTTTGCTTAAATATTGCGGTTTTCCTTATTTTATTTTTGTTCGATCCGGTAATTCAAAAAAAAAAAAAACTTGAGACCTTAAATGCCTAAACTTGGCTCTAATGTACATAATTATCTACAATATAAATTCATTTTGAAATCTAGAAACTTGGAATCAAAGCTGATAATCAAACATTTTTAGTTTTTACTGCTCCTAAAGATGATGATGATCAAAACAATTTAAAAATGGGTTAGAATATATTCTATCATCAGACGATTATAAAAAATACAGGGATTTTTTTTTAATTATCCACAATATCAACAACTTATGTGGAACACTGCTGTATTACATTTTCAGTTTTTTGAACAAGCAAAAAATTATTTATCGACAACTAGTGGAAAAAATGTCTTATGGCTGTAAATAACTCAAAAAGAGCTAAAATATTTTGAAAATTATACCATGTATGGAAATAGGTCATATTAACATTTGATGAAAAGTACTTATCTACAGTTATTAGTTATTGAGTTACACCGAAAAAATAAAATCAAATTTATCAAAAATTGGTTTGGCAAATTCCCAGCCTTCCTTAATTTTCTTTTTTCTTTTTTGTATGTTTTTGAAAACTTCTAGGAATTTTTTCTAAACACATCCATCACAGTGACTCACTAGACACCTAATATACATTCATAGAGAATAGTAATACATATTATGTATTATGTATTATGTACTATTCTGTGTACATATTATGTATTATCTATGTGTACAGCAGACCGTTGTCCACTTATCCTTTCTTTAATTTGTTTTGACTATGGAGACTGGGATATAAAAGACCAAATATTCTTGTGAGGCTTAAGCCCATCACTCCGTTCTTTGAGAAAGCAGTCGTATTATTTTATTTCAGTCTTATTGTGCAAATGGTAGGTACAGATTGTTTATTTAATAATTTCAAATAAAGTGGGAAAAAAATCTTTACTTTTATCTATGTTGATAAAGGAAACTACCGGTCGGCGGCGGTCGCGGTGGTGTGATTACGAAATACGGCGTTTGTCAAGTTATCATTTTGGACTTTGGCTGAAATCTGTTTATGATAAACGTTTCAAAACCTCACAAATCGCAATGAAATAAAAACATTATTGATAGCATCGGTATTCGTAGTATTTTGCATCGATTTCTCTCGCGTCCACTTGCGAATTACTTACGGCGGTGAACGAATGAAATACCATTCTACGCTGCGTACTAAAATCCGGTATTACCGTTGCGACAGTCGTTGCCCGTCGTTACACGTTACTCGTTAGCATTCCAACGCGCACATACAACAGCGAGACACGTCGACGCAGGCGTCGCACTCAGTCGCAGTCGATCAGCGGTGTTCACGTCTCAATCAGCGAGTCAGGTCTTAGTCTCCATTTGGTTGCGCAGCTCCGGGCGTCCGTACCCGGAAAGATGAGCGAACAAGTTGAAAATAAGCCCGTGAGGGTCTGGTGCGACGGTTGGTGAGTACTCTTTTCCTGTGTCTCGTTTTGGTTTTTGGAGAAACCGCGGCAATATTAAAAATGTTAGTAATGATTTTGTTTTTCGGTTTTCTGCCGTCACACAGTTTCGACATGGTGCACTTTGGTCACGCAAACTCGCTGCGACAAGCCAAAGCATTGGGACATTATCTGGTCGTAGGCATACACACCGATGACGAAATCACCAAGCACAAAGGGCCACCCGTTTTTACAGAACAAGAGAGGTAGCTAGCTAATCACTAATCAATCATGTGTCTATTACGTTATGTCACTGCTGAATTTATAAAAGTAATGATTGCCAAGTAGGTCGTGTCAATTTCAATATTTTATTGCCTACAATTTCTGTTGGTTGTGTTGTTATTTTCTTAGTATACTAATAAAATATTTTTATTATTGTGGTTAAGAATAGGTGCTAAATAACAGTAATATGATCTTATCCCTATGTTTAGGTCTAAATTGCCAAGTTTTTATGAATGTTTAGTGGAATTATTTTTATTGGCAGGTGCTAGGGAGTAATTATTTTTTAATGTTATTGGATAACTCGTATCACTTACTCACTAACTTCATATATTTTATAGTAATTTAGTCAACATTTATTGCCCCTACTGATCTTTTATATTTAATTTAAATTATCTTAACTACTTCAAATGCAAAACACTACATGATAAACCTTAAGGTATATTAGGTAATAAACCACTGGCTTAAGTCACAAATTTAATAGTTATGCTTATGTAATAACGTAAGTGGTAAACAATAAGATATTATTTAAGTTTCATTAGATAATTTTTTTAAATGTAATTTTTGAGTGAAGTAAATTATAAATACAAAACTATTGCCTACAGTGTATATTTATATGCTTTTCTGTTAAAGGCATATATTTTTGTTTGATTAACAATATTTAAAACATGTGTTTTATGTAAATACATCTCAAATATATTTATGAAATGCATGTAGGTAAACTTATGTCATATTTGATAATATCAAAAAAATACCTATATTAATATTATTTATAATAACTTTTAGTCCTAGATATTTAATAATGACTGGAATTTAACCATTGATATCAATCAATTATTTAAGAACAATATTGTAGTTTTTATGTTTACTATAATTACTAAACAAAATACAATTTTGATAACTTAAAGTAACTTAATTTGTTGATGTTACTATAATGATGTAGGGCATAGGTAGCTATTATTGATTTAACTTTTTAATATTGTTTGAATAAACAATGAGTCACTGGAGATAATTGTATAATGCAATAAAATAATAAGTTTTATTAAGGTGCCAAATTAAACATTAAACATTAATGAGATCAAACAATTTATTCATTAAACAATTCAAACAATTTATTAAATACTACACAATGATCATTAAATGCATTTGTGACTGATTGTTTTTGTCAGAAATGTACAAAATGATTTGTGTTCTGTTGTAAAACCTATCTTAGCCTACAAATATTAAAATTGTCTTGTTTATGGTAAAAATAATCAATCATATACTTGGCTTACAACAAAAATAAAACATTATTTTTATTATTCACTGGTGACTGGTTTAAAAACAATGAAACTAACTAAAATATTATGGTTGTTAAAATTATAAGTTTGGATTGCAATAAATTATTAGTTTTTTATTTAGCATTCTTAGTTAGTTTGGATCTAGCTGACCAAAGATGTGTTGCTAAGGCTCCTCTCTCCCCTAAATAGCCAATATTTTAAATATGAAAAACAAAAATGAATACGCTTTGTCTATAAAATAACAAATATTTATGAATATTATTTTTCCATCTACATTTAATAATGTAACCTATATTTCAAAAAAAAATTACTAATTTATCGTTAAATTATATTCAGATCCAAAATGGTGAGAGCAATTAAATGGGTTGATGAAGTAGTTGAAGGTGCTCCTTACGTAACAAATCTCGAAACTTTGGATCAACATAATTGTGACTTTTGTGTTCACGGAGGTAAATATTTTATTTTATTTAAAAAATGTAATTTTTAAATTATTTTGTTTGTATTTTATAGATGATATAACGGTTACAGCAGATGGAGTTGACACATATCATCTTGTTAAAAAAGCTAATAGATATAAGTATGTTAAATAAATAATATTTGTTTGATAAGTGATATAGATAAATATGATGATTGAAGACTTTAAATTCTATTAAATGGTCATACTTTTCTAGGGAAGTGAAACGAACTGAAGGAATTTCAACTACGGATGTAGTAAGCCGTATGTTGTTAATGACAAGACAACATTTTTACAAGGGTGATAAAGAATATGAAGTGGAAAAAGAGCATTCCTCAGTGATGGGTCAAGACAAAGCTGCCAGAAGTCCATGGACTGGATGTTCTCAATTTTTACCTACTACCAATAAAATAATTCAATTCAGTGAAGGCATCGAACCTAAGGTAAAAAAAATGACTGTACCTAGAAATACTAACTTATCATTGTTATACATTTCAGCCCACTGATAGAGTAGTATACGTTGCTGGTGCTTTCGATATATTTCATGTTGGTCACTTGGATTTTTTAGAAAAAGCCCATCAGCATGGTAATTTTCTTATTGTTGGCTTACACACTGATCCAGTAGTTAACCAATACAAAGGCTTGAATTATCCAATTATGAATTTACATGAACGAGTCTTGAGTGTGCTTGCCTGCAAAGTAATATTTCTCCTAGGTGATTTATTAAAACTAGTATTATCATTTTACTATTCATTTTTCAGTATGTATCTGAAGTTGTTATTGGAGCTCCGTACAGTGTAACGGCTGATTTAATGAAACATTTTCATGTTGATGTTGTGTGCCACGGTAAAACACCAGTAAAGATGGACATAAATGGTGAAGACCCATATGCGCTTCCAAAATCGATGAATAAATTTGTGATTGTTGATTCAGAAAATAGCATGACAACAGAAAAAATTGTCGAGCGTATTATAATTCATAGGTAAATAAATAATATTATGATATTTTTATAGTTTTAGGTATAAAACATAGTTACCTTAAACACTGACAGATTTTTTCATCTTATAAAATAAACTAGTATTTCATGATTATCATTTTGTTGCATTATGTAAATGGAATTTGTTTAATAAGAACAAATAATTCTCGTCTTAAGTGTGGTAAATAAAAGATAGATTTTTAGTTTGGTACGCTGTAACTGTCAAACATCTTATACAAAACAGAAACAGTCTGATTGCATAATAAGAAACTTCATAGAAAATATTTTATATTTTGTTACTATGCAAAGTATAGTTTACATTTCTAATCTGATAATTTTAATTTTTATTGCTAATTTAAATCTTATAAAGTAAACCTATAATTAAAAAAAATAATTATGTTACTTATAAAATCTTAATAATTTGTTTTCGGATTTGTAAAATAACAAATACAAATTATAAAAATATATAAAAGATTCAAATTAATATGAAATAATTCTAGTTTTCGACCACTGAGTTTTTATTTCAAGTGTTAAACAATAATTATTTGTTTTGTTTAGTATGTGTTTCCTTCAAACAAGGTGAATTTTTTAAAGGCAAATACTTATTGGATTACAAAGTTCAAGTTATTATGTACTTTTAAATTTGAAGTTATTAAAAACAATTATATTTTCATTGTTATCTCTTATAAGTTTTTACTTTTTCAAATGACTGCATACATTTTTAGTTTCATATTGTGAAGTAGAATATTTCTCTGAGAATTTCAATAATAAATAATTTAGAGTGAGTGAGTAGTTGATTAGTTAAAGTATACATGAGCAGTGTGGTGCAACGTGGAAACTCCGAAAAATGTGTTAGGTTATTTATCTTCTTTGAGATTTAAGTACTTATAAGGTAATAGCTAATTAATGAAACATTTGAAAGTTGATATGTTTTGAAATTCTCAGGAAAATATTCTGCTTTAAAATGTTTACTGCCATTAAAAAAGTAATTAATGTTGTTTACTAGCGATTAAAATTTAAAAAGAATTCTAAAAAACGTTAAAACCTTCCAAGGAAATGATTTTACTTTTAAAAAAGAGCTCTGTTTGGTAAATTGTATGTTATAAAAAAAAAAATAATAATAAAAAATATTACCTACATTAAACACTATTTTAAAAATATGCAAAATAGGTTTAATCTTTAACAGTATAATCGATAACCAGTTTTTGCATTTTTAAATTTATATACTTATGTAACAAGTTATTGAACCATGTGACTGCATAAAAAACCACATTTCTTTATATATTGTAGGTGATGGGTCGAAGATTTCTATAGTTTTTGAGGTCATTGCATATATATTTTAAACGTGATAAATCATTATGCCAAATTGTGCAAATAATTATATTCTAGCAATTTCATATGCCTAACTATATCTTATGACCTATACTAAATCAAATATTTAAAATAATACACATAAGCACACAACTAAATATTTTATTATGAAAGTTACATTTTTTTCTTTAAATATTCAGTACTAATATAATATTCTAAGATTTGTGCTTATTCAATTTTTTATTTTCATCAACATGATCAAAATCCGTAATTAATTTTAATTAATTTGTATTTAGAAAATTTTTTACTTTAAATCACACTTATTGGGTCTTAAATATTATTTTCAAATTGAAACTAAATAAGCAAACTTGATCAAATAATATATAATATTTTTAAAGCATTAAATCCACCTATTAGATTAACATATAAAATAAAGTAAAGAACTATTATAAATTAATAGCTAAAATATTTTTATTTTACAAATACATAATTTATTTTCATTGAAATTGATTCATCATTCATCAAAATCAAGAAAATATTATCACTTCAGATATAGCCCTATTATATTAAAAAAAATTGTGTTCTATATAGAAGAAGAACCATATTATTAGACATTTTATAAAATTAATTTAATGATAATCTGAAATATAATAATAAAACCTATTAACTATTATCACTATCATAATTAACATTTAAATGTCTAATATTAGTTTAGTATACGGATGTGTGTAGTGTGTACATTTATTAAGTAGACATACAGTAAACATATTTGGGAAAATAAAGTAATAGTCTGATTAGTATTTAAACATGTCATATTAACTATAGTTTTTTTTTCATTAATATTTATTTAGATCTGTTGTCTTAAAAAATAATTAGAATGCTATTTACAAACTTAAATGTAAGTAATAAATTCTTATACATTAAATAGTAATTTTTATACGTTTTATAGTTTATGCTATTCAAAAATGTATAAGATTAAAATTTAAAATCAGACTATGGTAAATTAAACAAAATCAATAATATTTTTTGTTCAGGAATATTAAGCCAAGTGCTAATATCATTAAAATAATCACTCAATAATAAGAGTATTGCAATGCCTGAACAAGATTTTATGTCCTTCCTGGTGTGGCTTGATGATTGGCCTCAGTCACTAACATATTCTAAGGTCAAGCATCGGCCAGCGTTGCTAGTTCCCTGATGGATGACCACCCAGGTTCTTAGCGACAAATCCTCACCCCATATACCGAACAAACTATAGCCCCTACAATAAAAACAAGTTAATAACCAGGCAGTTGAAGTTTTAAACTAAAAAATAGATGATTTAAATAGACTATTTGTTGCCTCAAATCAAATCTTATAAATATTAATTTTCAATGTGTTAAATTGACAAGTATTAATAATTATCTTACTCACAGTTTATTAAATTATAACTGTTCATTCAATTTTTTTTTATGATTAAAGTTACTAATTACAATTAGTATATATTCTTAATGAGAGAAAATTGTAGAATATGACAAATGAGTAATATTGTGTTTGTTTTTAAATTATGTACTCTAATGTTATAACTTTATAAGGTTCCAATGTTATACTCAATTTTTTTTTTTTTGATTAATCAAACATTGTTTTTAATTTTATAGACTCGAGTTTGAAGCTAGAAATTTTAAAAAAGAAGCTAAGGAGTTGGCAATCATCAAACAAATGGAAGACCAATTAGAAAAAATAAAAGTGGGATCATGCTAGTATTTGTTTGAGTTAATTTTTAACCGATCATAAAATGTGCTGATAATAAGTCATGTAATTGATTATTCATCCAAATAATTTTAATACCATGTTACCAATCCATAGATTGATCATTTTCTTCTTTGTGTATCTGTATTTGTTGTTTGATTTTTATTTATTAATTTATTATTATTATTATTATCATTACTATTGGCTAATTATACAATACTACAATACCTATAAACTAATTAATGTTTTTATTTTTTAAAGTATTAAGTATGTAAGACCTATTTATTATTATCCATTTGAACCTACCCGGTATTTTTACTATATAAGCTGAATAAATTAAATTTATTCTGTGCTACATCAGTTATTTTATATTATATAGACGATGGTGGACGTGTAGGGTACTTGGTTTGGTTAATTTAATTTATTTTTATTAATTTTGTAAACATTTGTTATAAAATGTAGTGCCAAAAATAATAAACATAAGCATACTGTCAAAAATTACATTACTTATAGAAACATATCTGTTATTTTCATTCCAATTAAAAACAATAATTATTTGTGTTTCAACTACAAAAAACTACTTAAAAAAACTACTTAGCAACTAATTACATTTTTAATCACTAGAATGTCCTTAATGGATTGCTGAATTTTATTTATGCCCTGAATGTATATAGAGCATAACTATGTTTGTAATTAAATGTACCTATTATAGTTAACATAAACATTCTTAAGAGCTAATTAACATTTTTTGAATCTTTGTTGTCCATTCTTTTGAACATTGAGTTTAATTTTATTTAGAACCATAAATGTTAAGTTTTTATTATTTCCAGTTGTTTTAAATAGGTGTTCGTTTTTCTTAAACACACAAATGAGAATTGTATAGAATTACTTCTGTGTCTAAACTATTTCTTATATTTGTCTTTAAAATGTAATTACATTTTTATTATATAGCTGATTATTTATAGACTTGTTAAAATATTGTACTTAGATTCCATGATATAATTTTTATATTTTTAAATTTATTAAACTATACCTTTTTAATATATGAATTTATTTATTTAATTTAACAATTGATATAATTTAAGTATAAAATGTATAGTAATTAAACTGACTTTTTTAAATATCAAGTCATTTAATTATTTGATGAATAATTTTTAATCAATGTCATCTAACATTTTATTAACTATTATTTATTTTGAATCACATATTTGTGTATACTTAATTTATTTATTTTGAATCATATTTGTGCATACCTAATGTATTTATCACAAATTTAAATATACTTAGTATATTGTAATTTGTGGTAGGTATTTATCATTATAGACTCATATTGTATATTTATATTATTAAATGGAAAATTTGATTACGTGATACAGCTGATCGGGTGCTGATCCTGGGAGTAATTTTGGGAAGTGGTCTTAAATGTATTAAAAATATTTGTATTTCCTTAATATTTTTAGGTGTTATACTTATATTGTTTGTTTTGCGCTTTCCAATACTACATAAACACAATCCGATACCGCCACAAAAATGGAACGATATTGCATAAATTCAAGTTGTAAATTAAATTTACAAATAAATAAACACAATTTATTCAAATTATAACAAATTATTTTTTAAAAATTTCAGATGTTAGTGTTCATAATACGAATCCGAAAATATAATAACTATAAGTAAACTATATTATATAGGTAGAGTTGACTAAAAAACATATGTGTAGGCGTTTCAAGTACGTATACCATTGAAAGTCATCTGTTATAATAAATTAACAATTTTTATTTTTATATTACGGTTTTTGGATTAGTCGATTATAAATTATAATTTAGTAAATAACTGATATCTATACCCACATTACTGATTATCTATATTAACTCTATATTAACAATTCGATAAACGTTTTATTACACCATGGTAATAGATCGGCAATTCGGAAATATCAAAATGACAAAATCTGTGAGCGTTTTGGTCCAATGTGTTTTTCAATATCACGTGCGGTGATGGGAGACGCCTGCATTTAAAGCAGTTTTATAATTCATAGACCTAGGTAGGTACTTGAAGTGTTTATTTAAAATGTATGAATACTGCTGACAGTCAGTGAAAGTGGCTCAAAATAAGTGGTGGGGTGGAAAATGGAAATTATAAAAAATGGAGGGATTTCATCCCCTCACTCGGTCCACTGTTCACAGAAGACAACATTTTTTATGAATTATTTACACAGTTGAAATAGTGTAAATATAATTAACAATTTCATATGTTTAGTAAATAATTGTTTATTGCTGAATGCATGAATGATGATAGCGATCGAAATCCAATAGAATTGTTTTAAAAGCAATCATTAATGTATAATATTATACAATATTAAATTCAAAACTAATATGGATGCCACTTTTAAACCTAACCTTATCATTAGGATTTATGGAATTATATGTTTACATGCATCAAGCTCTGGTACCAATTGGTATTCAGTGGCCAGTTAGGTAAGTAAATATGCCTACACCAAATTACCGAAATAGAGTTGAACCTAGAAGTGGCAGATAACGCGACAGCCGCAATAATTATATTGTAACATTTGTAAATAATTGCGTTTATATTGCAGGGGTGGCCAAACTTATGTTAGTTATATTTAATAAAGATTTACCTCCTGTGAATAATATATTTTTCCTCCGAGGATCGATTGACGTACGAAAATTTATATTTTCATTTTTAAGCTTTATCATTATTATTAATAATAAACGTATACGACTTATAGGTATGTAGATATTAACATTAAAGTGTAAAGTTACCTACAAATTAATGTTTCATGTAGAATTTATGAATAATTTCAAAAGCGTGTCATTGCATATCGTTGACCAGTTAATTATAATTTGAGGAATAGTCACCAACTTCTAAACGAGGACGCTACTTTAAATGATCATCAGAAATAAGTGTAGATACTAGATACTTCAGCAGTTCGGTATTCAGTTTTTAAGACTTTCAAGTTACTAATGTAAAAAAATATAATTTCACATAAACCGGTTTATCCGAAATATGTATGTAACTCAGTCAGGGAAGTGTTCAAGGAGGGGGGGAGTTGGAGGATAAGGGTACCATAAAGGGGGGGCCTTTGACTTATATTTGTCACATAAAATAGTTTAACAATGAATGTACATATAACGTGGTCTGAAAATAGTCAAAAATTCATACCCCCCCCCCCCCTTCAAAAAAGCAAAGCACACCACGCGCCACTGAACTCAGTAACTGTATCTACTAAAACTAAATGTACCTACAGGCTACAATAATAAGTTTTAACTAGGGAGGATCGACTTTCAAATCGTCTGATATCAACTCTTTGGCCGCCCCTGCTATATACATTGTGGTAGTTCAATAATATTGACTGTTTAGCTGTTATATAGGTAAGTTGTAAGTACACACGAAAACAACATACATGCACCCAAGCGCCGTATTAAATGTTAGGTTAGGTCACACATAAAACCACTGTTGGTTAGGTTCTAGGTGTACAATCTACGTATTATTATAATTTATAACCTTATTCTGTCATAGTCCACGGATGTACACGCTATTATTGAATACGTAGTTGTCAGTTGCGTTTATAATTTTGTGTTTATTTAGTATTTTTTCACACATCGTTTATACTATAGATATACTTTGACGACGCTCGGTGTAATCGTAACTTTAAACTATACTTACTGCAGAGGTGTCCAAACTTTTTTACTCGAGGTACGTACCTATATACAAATTAAAAACTGCTGCCCAAAACAAAAAATTATACAATTACAATAATCGCATTTAAAATTTTTAAGTTTCAAATATAGAAAATAGAATTAATATTTAATGCAATGAATTTAATAAATAAGTGCAAGTTTGTAACGATTACTCACTGTTGCAGCACTTAACTCAGTGTAGGTAGTGTATTATCTTCGAACTTAAAAATCTACTTGTTACACCTAGTTTTGTTTATACTATTGATTGAATGTATAACAATAATATAGATACGTTTATTATAGATACTTCATAAATAAAAATATAATCAAGTAAGTTGATTGTTGAATATTATTCGTTGTGACTTGCTGACATCAGTTATAGGCTATAATAGCGGGTCAGTTAAAACTTGTCGGCGGTTCAGATACGGCCCGCGGGCCATAGTTCGGAGACTTCTGAGTTTGTTATACGTCTGTATGCACTCATTATTGACGTACAATTATTGGGTATGATTACAAATACTAGTTAAACATAACGATTACCAATTATATAATAGCGTACCTACCTGTATATCAAACACGATAATACTGTTATAACCTTATAACTTATAGGCTATGGGTAGTATACCTACATAAATAATATTAATTAAAATAACTTGTAGAAATATAAAGATGGTCGGCCAATTGAGTAGGTATGCCGTATGCGTGTAAAGTGTGATGTAGGAATAAGTACAAATACGTAGGAATGTGATAATATGTATAATAACACACGTTTAGTTTAGTGGGGCAGTGGGGCGGGTGTCTGTGTATTTGGAAGCAATGATAAATATTAGGCGTATTGCATTCGAAAAACGATTATTAGAAGATCTGTCGACCGACGGCTCTTGGTATGAGCATGAATGATGGATGTCTGATTACAAACTATAAGCATTTATTTTACTCGTATTTTTTGTTCGAATTTCTCTATAGGTATGAGGTACCTAATACCTATATATACTTGAATTACTTCAAAGCATGCATAAATCTATTCTGCAAGTGCTCTGAGTAAATCTTATCAAAAAGGGCTTTTGGATCGGCACCAGCTAAGTGCTAAAGGTAGCTTATACGACTTAGATAAGTAGGTCAGTATGTTAATTTGGCACTTATTTTTGGGGTACTAAAAATTTGATGTCTAAAAACTCTGCCCGGATTTTTAAATTCAATTATTTATGAAAAATGGGTCTAAATTATTTTTGTTTGCGATAATTGTTAAACTGCAGAGCAAGGTATACTTATAAATTCTCCAGAGGATATACCATGTCACCAAGATGGTAAGCCGATAACGGATAAGGAGTCGTTCATATTATCTACTTAAATAGGTACTTTTTGTTTTTTTAAAATACAACAAAAAAAAAATACTATAAACAACCAAAAAGTTTTATTATTTCAAAATTATAATGTATAGTTATGTACCTATCATTATATTAATTTTAAATATAGTTTAAAAAGTAAGCAACATGTTATATTTACGTTTAATCTACGTAAGTATGA